CCATCCATCCAACAAACAGAACAGAAACAATCGCTAGAGGGCTATTTAATTTCTCACTTTTTTTACAGCAAAGTATCTCGAAAACCAGTTCAGTGACCCCATTTTTCTTTGTCTTGAAATAAAGATACCATAAAATTCTACAAAATGTGTAAATCTAAAACATTCTGATTGCAAGGGAATGAGTGACACCAAATTTAGGAAACAAAAATCCACCCGTTAACGAATTCGAATGGTACGCATTTTGACTGCATTGATCGCCAATTGAAAGTTTTATAAATCCTTATCACTAACTCTTGCTCACATGCTTTCAATTCAGAAGTGTTAAAGAAAGTCTAATTTGATGGCCATGAATCTGCATTTCTTTGATGTTTTTGATTTTTTTTCGAAGCATTTCTTTGATCCCTCGGGTTACTTTATGGCGTGCATTTAGCAAAAAAGCGAATTCGGTGAACCCCAATTTTTAATTTCATTTTTGGAACAAGAATATGTTGGGATATGTTTGTGATTGCTTCTTCATTTCCCCGTCAACGTCTTTAAGGACATTAATTATATTAACATCCAAGATCATTTTCATCGAAAACTAACAAATATATTCGAATAAATTCATTTTCATAGAATTGGGTCTTTTCACAAGGAAAACCTAGGCTATCCATCTTGTCATCCTTTCTTCCTTTCTACCTCAAAAAATCTCGTATTTTATTTCAAAATGTATTATATTATATTATACATACTTGTAAACATTTATGTGTGAGAAAATAAACAAAAGTTCAAGTTCAAGTACTTAGTCTATTTACACTCTTTTCCCTCTCATTTATTATTCATATATTCATTTACTAACACAGGGTCAACTAAACGAAGCAAAGACAAAAAAGATAGAACCTGGTTGATCATTGGTATATCCATTGGAGCTGTCATCATATTGTTACTAGTGATTTTAGCTGTGATTTGCTGCAGAACCAAGAGATCTGGTTACACTTCCATCTAACAGACTATATTCTTACTTCTCTACAAGTATGTACAGTATTACCCAGTTGAACATTACTATGATATCAAAATGAAGTTAAATGCCCTGACGATGTCTTAAGAACTGGTGTAATGAATGGTTTTCACAGCAGCCATGTTGGAGGAACTTAACAAAAGAATTGTCAATGAATTCTTTTGTTATATTCTCCAACATGGCCGCCATGTCTTTTGTTATTTAATTCTCTTGAAAATGGTTGAAAACCATCAATTGAGATAAATGAAAAGCTCCAGAGCTAGATCCAGAAGTTTTTTAGGGTTATGGAGACCATTAATATGACAAAAATCTCATTTTTTTTCAGTTAATGTACGTGAATAGGATATGAGGCCTGGGAGATGACTGAATGGATTTAAGTCAGTGAAGAATTTCATAAGTAATCATTGTAATTTTTGGTTAATCTGACAGGTGGATATAGAATTCAGCTGTTTTTCAGCCACAAATCTAGAATTGGCTATACCCATGTTGCTCTATTCTAAAACTAATCAATGCTTTTTATTGTTATTTTTTGTTTTCATATTAATGAAATTAGGAGTGGTGTTCGTTCTTAACAATTTTAGCAGGCATTGTTCGCACACAGCTCCTTTCTACACATGCTCATCGTAATGATGTCATTAGAATGTTTTGGTGGGCAAAATATCAAGAAAACCCATTTTTAACCTGCATCTACACCCTCCCCCCTTCCCTGACACCTTTGAAGAAATGCAGGTCAGAAAGACTGACTGAATGGGATTCCCAAACAGGCTTTAATTTTAAATTTAATCAGATTAGCCTAATTTAATATTCCAAACAGATGGTATTGCATGACGAGTAGTTGACCATTGCTAAAAAAATTAAGCCTTATTTAAAATATTAAAGATAAAAGAAGATTTATCCATGTTTTAGAGTATAGTGTTAGGGAGTAGCCAAAAGGTCAAAGGGTACAAACAGTTTTAACTAAATGTGATTGATTGATTGATTGATTGATTGATTGATTGATTGATTGATAAGAAGTGGGGGTACTCCCATATGAGGGAGGGAATGATCGTCGTATCTTTTAGGGATTGAATTCGTGCACTCGTGCACCCAGTCTTTTAGGGGTAAAAAAAGAAAAGTTGCTGGTTTTTATCTCAATTTTTTTTTGTTTTCAATTCTTTACCTTGTGTTTCAAAGTGGTATCTTTTAGGGCGAAAATTTAATTAAGACCACGCCCAAACTTTCTCACAGTCAAACCAACTCAAGCGTGAACACGTTAGAGGTCATTAATGACTTCATTTTTGGATTATTGATTTCGACCATTCATTTTGGTTAAGTCCAGATGCTGTCCCATTCTTTGACCACTGCCTTTGTTGCAAGTACAGGCAGCCCAACACAAGCACAGCGGTCAAAGGAGGGGACAGCATCTGGACTAGAGGTGGTTTGACTGTTAAAATTTTATCAAAAACGATCATCCCTGACCTTTTTACATTGGAGTGCCTCACCCCCAATCGATCGATTGATTGATCAATTGGTTKATTAGTATATGTAACAGGACTCCATGCTGTCCAATTAAGAAATAATTGGACGAGGAAAATTCCGAGGACTGACAAAATTGGATGAGGCCGTAGGCCGAATTGACTGATTGAATATGATATACCTCTATAAACCCCGTCCTATTCCTCATGGCTACACCCTTTTCATTAAAATATAGATTATATATAAGTACTTGTAACCAACTTGAAATAATTTACAGAGAATGAATTAGCAACAATTATGTTTTGTAAAAACATTTTATTAAATAGCTATTAAAATGCCTTACAATATTGTTTTGATCGTTGATGCTATAAAATTATTATACTTTAAACATAATTATATCATAGTTCGTTGCTGAGGGCAAGTTTATAGTATTAACTACAGAAGAAGGCACAAGCTTGAATCACCCTATCTAGCTTAAATAGAAGCAGATTATAAAGTTTCAGTTAAAGTTACTAACAATAAATAGTTTGAAAGTAGTCATAATATTACAGAAATACAGAAAGACAACGATATGACGATCGATTATAATTACCTTTTTAGTCGCATCAAATTCAATCAGTAAGAGTAAAAGAACAGTGAACAGCCCCCTAAAAGCATGGCACACCTAATACTGCTTAGCGTCACAATCTCTTTAGTGACATTGGTAACCATACTTAGCTATGACCTAAATGCGCGAATACACGGAGCAATTTTGTCTGCAACTGGTCTCGCAACGGCGTTGCGACACAAATTGCACGAAGCATTCCAGCGTGTAACCTACAGCGCAATTTGAAAAAAGTGTTGTGAGACAAGTTGCAGCAATCGTTGCGAAAAGTGGAATTTGCTTCTACTTTTGGCAACGATTGCGTCTCCGTTGCATCGTGTAAACACTCTTGCAACTTTTGTCGCAACGCTTTTGCTAGACAAGTTGCAAAATGCTGCGTGTAATCACGCCTGCACTACTGGTGGCTTCACAGACTTGCTAATTTTTACTGAATTTGTTGTCAAGAAAAATATTTAGTTTTAGAGTATATTTCTAGCTTCCACGGTTATTAGTTGCAACCAGTGAACTTTACTATAAAAATATGTATATATTTACACATGCACAGTTGTGAATCGTTCTCTGTCTATTGACGAGTGTTCATTTTCACTCCACTGTTGACATGAAAAGTAGAATCCTTCCATTTGATCCCAGTTGTTCTGAAGAGAATATCATTCATGGTCCAGCCTTTGGTCGGTAAACTTGCACGATCTTTAACGTTGTAAAGCATGGTATCAGGGTTTTCGTACCAGAATCTGTCTCCGTCTCTAAGGATTCGAAACTGCTCGGCCATGATGCGTGCAAATGTTTCCCCCACGCATCCCCCCTCGACATGGTCTTCTGCAAGCCCTCCGACCCACAAGTCGATATCATCTGTGTTTTTGTAGATTTGGAAATTATTTTGTGTGTCTTTATCGGAAGTGATTTGATCAAATGAGATCTTTCTTGGGAGCCCGAGTGCTTCTCTTACAGTGTTATAATCCGGTAATCCGTGGTCCCTTCCACGTTGGATTCCAATCGCAGCTAAATCAAGTCCTTTAGTGTTGGTACCAAACAAGAAGTTTCTCACGGAGTCAGTGAACTTGGTGTCTACATTTTGTGCCATTTGCTTCAACATACCACGAATCAATGGTTCGATCCCACCTTCCTGGACAACCCGGCCAGGGTTGAAGTACGCATCCCTTAGGGAAAGATGACCAAATTTGGACATTTCCCATTTGTCATCAAACCTCAGCATTGTGTTGCCAATTTGGCTGTGACCAAAGCGGAAAGCAGCTGTCGAAAACTCGTTGAAGATTCCAAACTCTATAGAAGCATTGTAGTTTTGATATGACCCGAGTCTGTTGTATTCCTTGATCCCTACAATCGTTGGAAGGTACTCATCCCAAATTATTTTCTGCCATTTCGCACGTGTAAGGGCGCGCGCGTGCTGGAAGAGGGTCTCATCATTCATTGCTTTATTTCCATACCGTTGAATCAACTCATCACAGATCAAATTATGTTCTCGGGAGAATACTGAATGAAGCGCAATAAGACCTGGCTGAACGTTCACTCTGTTGTCTCCCGAGACCAACATCTTGTCCCGAGGTCCATGAAGAAGATTAAGGTTTGGTACTTGCTTTGTATTTGGAGGGATAATTTCACTGCCATGTTGGTGTAACATCTTGCCATCTTTCATCGTTCTAAGGATAAGAGTACGATCTCGTTGTGACCCGTATACTACAGATAGATCTAGAAACGCTGTGATTTTGTTGACCTAAAAAAACAGAAGACAAAACTTTTCATCCCGTTGTATGCCATATATTATTTGAGATGCATTTTCCTGTCAAGAAGACAGGTCTGTAGTGCAGCTGGATTGCTTTTCTTTGCCAACGAGAAACCGCGCGTGCAGCTGTTGCGAAAAAAATCTTTTAAAGCTTTTAAACTTTAGATATAGTATCTTGGCCATAAGAGATGATAGGGCCTAAACATTTCTTAAATATTCATGGCGAAAAAAAGTCATTTTCATCTATCCTATTTTGATATGATTTCTTGGAATCGTGCTGAAACATCTATGCCTTGCGACCGTAGCTTCACGATACAATCTGCATTCTTCAACCTTTACGCAAAGTAAACGCAAAGCGATGGGACTTCGCAAACCAGTAGACCAGCAAAGAGGTTCGGTTTCGTAAGGAAAACGCGATTTTTACATTTGAGAGAGACTAACGCGGTTGTTCAGATTTTCAAAGTCTCACCTGTTCTCTTGGTGTTCCATGCATTTTCCCAGTAGTTTGAAGTCTAGCGGATCGTCTAAACCGCATGATTTCATTACCAGAACTATGAGGATCAAACCAAGGGTCTCCTCTTGGTATTGTGATGCCAAAATTTTCTTCCGTGACAAAGTTAGCATAAGGCGTTGCAAAATCGGTGTCGTGAGCGACCAGTTGACCAAAGTGCATGTGGAAATCATTGAGTCCTTCTTTACTCCACACGTCAATCCTCTGATCAAACAGCGCGTTTGATATCTCCCTGGGTCCTGGACGGTTTTGGCCAGCTGGTTCATCGTAGCCATCTAAGTATAAAGGTGAAACCAATCTGAGCAGCGGCATCATTGGTTTGCCCCAGTTAGGGTTGTGGAGGTTGTTGCCAATGCCATCTATTGGTGCATACTTCAGCGATGCGTATTTGTCGTCGTTGCCTTCTGATGTCTTGTCTGCCTTGATGACCTTCGTATTGAATAAATCAGAAGAAAAAGAAAGAAGTTAAGTGTTTTCTCAAAAGAATCGACCTCCGTTAACTTTGGAAAGCCAAGGTTTTTGAGGTAATTGGTAAATAATAATAATAAATTTATTACTTATATAACGCGCATATTTCATATGGTCTTTTTTTTTTCAATTCTACTAAAGCAATTGGCCCAGAGGGTACATTCTTTTGAAAGTCAAGATCAACTCGTGTACGTTTTATGGATAAATCATCACTTTGTTCCCATTAGAATCTCGTATAATAATAACAGTACATACCTTAACTTTGACCCTGGCAATAGACAAACTAACGCCATTTCCAATAGAATAGTCAAACGAGTCTTCTCCACTGAAACCAGAGTTTGGGTAGTATGTCACGTGTTTGGGTCCAAAGGTCACGTGACCGTGTGATGGTTGGCGAGAGACTTCCTTGACTAGTGTTCGCGTGCATGCTGCAATGGATTCGTCTGGAGATGACATCACTTCTACTGCATTCCTTTGTCTTTTGATATCGCGTACTGTTAGAGTAGATCGTCGAGAGACTTTCTGGATAATTCTCGTGTTGTTGGTGACTGGCCAGTAGACTCTCAGAGTAAAGGTTGTTGCTGTTTCAGACCCAAGTCCAAAGTGAGCAGTTGTTTCGCCATACGCTGAAAAGGCTGACACACTTCGGATTTCTCTCATTACTTCTTTCTTGAGGCGCGGCGAGTATAAGTAAACTCTGGCTCCGATGCTATCCCTTCCACTGTCCGCCTCTACGACGTTTATTCTAATATAATCATTCTTGTTCCCGCCTATATTCCGATACAGGATGGGTTTTTCTGCGTTGGTTACGATGTAAACGTCCAAGTCACCATCTTCTTCGTAGTCAAACACGAAAAGTCCCCGACCGTCCTTCCTATCTGTTACTCCTTGTATCTCGCCAACTTCTTCAAACCTTACAGCCCCAGTGTTATCCTCAAAGAACTTGTTTTTATAAAGCTTTGAACGGGTCCCGTGAAGAAAATCAGCGTCCGTGTTGTCGGGATCGCTGAAGCCATTAGTGTGAATAAGATCAAGATCTCCATCGTTATCGAAGTCGAAAAAGGCAGCGCCCCATCCCCACTGGCCAATTCTCACGCCGGCTGCGTCTGTCTCATCAGTAAACTTGCGTCCTCCTTTGTTCTTGTACAACCTGTTGCCTGTATAGCCGAATATGAATCCACCGCTCATGTACACTTCATAGAAGGGCTTCATTTGTTCCTGTGTAATGTGGATGCTTGTGAGGAGCCAGTCTTGAAGGCCATCAAAGTCATAATCTGCTACAGTCGAGCCCATTCCATTCTCGTCTGTTCCGACTCCCGCGTCTTTGGTCCCGTCAGTAAACGTCCCATCTCCGTTGTTCCAGTAGATAGCACTTGTTCTGAAGTCCCCGTTGACAGCAAGATCTAGGTGGCCTACAGTTCAAACAACGAGGATAAACATTTATATCTCAGAATAGGCCTCTCGCAGCACGTTAGAATGCAGGCGCAATTTTGAGGACCTAACAATAGGTTTTTCAATTCTCAGGAGACTGAAATTCTTTTGTTTTGCCCTCCAAATTGAGCTGCTTTGACGTCACATGCAAGGGGGCTATTGCTGGTTTTCAATCATTCCCAAGGGAGTGAAACAGCTAAAGACAGGGCGGCCATGTTAGTTTATATATATATATATATATATATAATTATGATAATTCCTTTGTTAAATTTAATTACCAAGATGGCGGCTGACGCCATGTAATAGAACACTTTTTAATATTTCGTTGAACAAAAGAAGATATATATATTTGTCCTCGACGTACCGTCATTATCAAGATCAGTAAACATAGCAGTCAGTTTGTAAGGACCAGGTAAGATATCCTTGAGTAAACCCGTGTTGAAGACACCATAATACCTCACATCAACACCACCCTCCGTCCTATCTGCATCCACTTTTGGTTCTATTGTCCTATGAAGACCAGCTTTCTCCGTCACATCTTCGAAATAGCCAGGCTTTCCTGTGTCAAAGAATATCAACTATAATCAGATCACTCGTAAACCCTTTCCCAAGGCTTGCGCACACGTTCAGTAAATACGAAGGGCCGCAGAGCAGGAGCTATAYATGATATAATCAGCAGCCTGAGATGTTTCGAAAAAAATCACAATGAAAAATGCGCTATTGATACTGTAGTCATGTGGTTTTCAGCAAGGTCTTGCATTATTTCCATGTGAAGTTGCGCAAGCAACCTTAATGAAATGAGGAATGATAAACATTTAAAATGGATATATAGCGTCAGGAGGAATCAGGATGGCGTGGGGGTAAAATGCTCACCTCTCACCTCTTGAGGTCCGGGGTTCCAATTCCAACCACCCCATGTGAGCTGAAATGGTTGGTTCTCTTTCTGACTCCGAGGGTTTTTCCGTCCTTGCGGTTTTTTCTCCCTCCTCTCAAATCAACCCTAACCAATTCAAACTGATTAGAGCTGTGTTCCGGGGTCATGCATGGACTGTATAGCGGCTGCCAGAGGCGCCTTCACATGCTTTCAGTTCAACCCTGTTGAGCTGCACCACTGCTGTACTTGCGGTGGTGATTAGCGACGTCGAGATTTTTTTTCATATAGGATTGACTAGGAAACAACTGAATACTATGGAAACTTACCTTGTCTACCAAGATTTCGTAACAGTTTGCAGTTTGAATGAGAAGCATTATTGTAATCAAAGCTTTGATCAAGATGAGGTAGCCATTCCGTGGTGTAGAAATCTAGCCATCCATCTTTATCATAGTCTGCAACAGCGATGGTCATTGTGCTTGTCTTATAAGGAGGGATGGTCGGTCGTAATGCTACTCCTCTCTTGACTGCCTCTTCTGTAAACGAGCCCATTCCGTCATTGATGTACAGGTAAAAGCGCTTTTCCGCCATTGTTCCGATGAAGAGATCTGGATCTCCGTCGTTGTCAATGTCGGCCCAAGCTAACGCAGTGGATCTGTTAAAATTAATAAAATAAGATTAATCTTGGTTGAAAATGGCACGCCTACTGAAAGCGCAACTCGTTTTCTTGAAACCATGGGCAAACTTCCCCGGAAACTGAGGCGTTTTTCCACAATAAGTATATGTAATAGGACTCCATGCTGTCCAATTAAGAAATAATTGGACAAGGAAAATTCCGAGGACTTCCAAAATTGGATGAAGCCGTAGGCCGAGTCCAATTTGGCAGTCAGAGGAATTTTTCGAGTCTAATTATTTCTTGATTGGGGAGCATGAAATCCCATTACCTATTAATTATATAGCTGCTTAATTAATCCCATATCAACAAGACCTGTACGATTAAGAAAATAATCCCTATATGGGATTAATGAGAAGCTGTATAATTAAGAATAGTAACTGTACACGGGCACCCACGCAATCGATCATTGGTCGGGGGACTCTATGTTTACGCGCAC